GCGACCTACAACCTGCAACCTGCAACCTGCAAATTACACCCTCCGGTATAATACACTCAGAATCTTTCTAATATTCATCTATTTAACTTTTACTATAAGGAACCTATAAAATCATGCATTATGTTTCCATGTTGTTCTTAAGAACTTTTTCAGCACCAGTGGCAAATTCATTAATTTTAGTTGCACGAAGGTATCAACAGCTTCCATCTGATCTTAAAGTCATGGAATATCTGCTGGAGGTTGACTTTCCCACTCAATTAACTAATGAGCTCTACCAAATTTAGTAACCAAACTTCACATAAATGTTTTTACTCTCACACTCATTTGAGTCATGCTTAACCCCTGGATTTAAATAGTCTGAGAAACTTACATAACCAGATTCTCAAAAGGCATCCATGAGACAGTACAGATAGGGTCTCTACTTTTTCAAAAACAAGAAACCCTTGAAATAGGTGGACAAATAATCGCAGCTCACAAAAGGTAGAATAGAAATTTACCAGAAAAATAGAAAAATGCACTGCACTATTCCTAAAATTTATCAGCAAGGATTTCCATGTCTCCTTCCACTAAAATCTCATACAAATATCCAATGGTACATCGAGCTTTGAACTGACATTTCTTCAGTACTTCTGCAGCTGGATATAAACCTCTTTGATTGTCTATTGCCCTGATGTCAGCACGGTCTACTCCCATTTTTTCTGCTACCATTTTCCAAGCTTCTGCATTTCCTACACCACAAATAAATAGAGTAACCATAATTAGTAACATTATAATAGACCACTCGGGTGAAAATTGCATGTGCTCAGCTGGTTGGGAAGTGGTTATAACAAGTATTATCACTTTCAAGCCAGCAAAGAGACAAAATAATGCGTCAAGAGTTTAACTTCCAACCGCTTTTCAGTATACTGACAGAAATAAACTATTTGGTTTCTGTGGGGTATGTACTGAAACAGTTATTCCCCTCAGTGTGGTTGGAAGTCAAGTTGATATACACTGAGCCACAAACTACCTACTTTAAACCTCTGGCAGCATTTAATTTTTTCAGAGTTGTAGCAAAGACCCACCTGATAGCTGGAATAACTGCAGTGATAGCAAATAGAAATTTTGTATTCACTACTTTAAGTAAACAGCAATGTTCAGTATAGAGCATTAAAAGGCCAATCAGTTACCAGCAAAAGAACTCAGTGGTTTCATTTTAATTTATTTTAAGTCATTTCATCTAACACTCAACACAGATAACAGTGACAAATGTCAGCAGTCAACTTCTTTTAGATACTAAATAGTTCACTACCACTCAAATTCTTCTCCAGATTGCTTCGGTCTTTGTAACCAAGTTCTTCTATAAAACTCTTGGGGTGTAACAAAGGACCTGAAATGAAGCAAACATGCAAGAAACAGGTGCTCTTGTTATACTATTTAGCAGGTAGAGTGGAAACAATATCACTATTTGGCCAGTGTTGTGTATTGATTTAATACAGTTTACCTTCTGTTGTTTAAGTAGGCAGCTTTCCCTATTTTGGTATAGTGACTGGTTTTATGATTTTCTCATCCTGCCATGCTAATACAAACATTGTACTTTGAAAATTTAAAAAAAATGAGTGTTACTTGGCAAGAATGCATTTCCTTCAGTAAGTAGGGGTTTCAACAGCTGGGGGTTACCGGCAGTCTGCCGCTGCCTGTAAGACCTCTCACCACCATCTATTCAGCCTGCTAACAGGCTGTTGTTGTAATTAAAACTTACTGAAAAATCACCCATTACACCATTGGCAGCTGCTTCCAGGAAGTTTATTGAAACCCCTGATTAAGGTGTTCAAAAACTACTACACTGTTAACGTTGTAATTACCGTAGGTTTTCGGTATTTACAATGTAAAGGTAAAATTAGGTGTACAGTGTATTTCCATGTCTTACTGAGAAGTGCTCTATTACTTGATCTGAATTTATTCTCTCAAGCAGTAACAATACTTTTAATTTGACTTTTGACTTACATAAACATAAAATTGCCTGAACTCGATCATTACAGTTTACATAATTCTTAGACAACATTTTTAGATGCTTTGCCCATGAAATCATTACTTACCAAAAACACCTTTGCAGACAGGTAGTGCTCTCCTTAAAATGCTTATTACATCTGGTCTTTGGTCCCTTATTTGGTCTGTCACAGTGCGGATTTTGACAGTGGCAAATTGCTCAGAAATTCCTTCATTGCACCCTTGATAAACGATGGTACTATTGGTACTGGCCACTTTCTGAAGTGCCATTCCAAAAGGCTGTATGAAGTTTGCAATTCTTAATTCATGCATAATTGTTTGCTTCTCATTCAAGCTCAGATCCCCAAAGTAAACCACTTTTCTTTCCTCTCCTAGTATGAAAAAAAATATAATTACATGAGCTGCTTTTCATTAGGCAAGGCTGCAAGTGTTAGTTAAGAATTTTCAGCATCACAGTGCCCATCTTACAATTTTCAGAAGCATCTAAGGTTTGTGCAGCTCCAGACACAAAGAGTTCAAGGACTTTTAAATAACAAAAAATTGTTTTCAATGACTAAGTTATATTATAAGGGAAATCATTTTTCAAACCTAAAAAATGAAATCATTGAAACTTTGGGAAATCAGTGTATTGATTTAAAAACAAGTCAGTCCCACAGGCCTTTTAATGACTAATGCTCTTATTTCCAAAGTACAAAAACAAATTTTTAAATTCTAGATACAGAAATACTGAGTGTTGTGCATAAAAGTCACAGCAAAATATTTTGTCTGCCTGCATGTCTGTAAAGCTTCTAACTTTTCATTCAGTTTGCCCTCAACTTCTTGCCTTACCCCAATCCTATGCTTTAAATGACTGCTTATTTATGTCTGCCACCAACAGAGACAGAGGATTGGAAAATTCATTTCACCATTCTGTCCATTTACAACTACATATCTTTGTCAGTAAAAGCTAAATGTACACTTATCTGCACTTCTACACAGCTAGAACTAGATTCCAAACTAACTTTATTTCAAAATGTAGACACCAAGCTCAGAGTTGCCCTAGTATTTGGTGATGCTTTTCACCTTTCTCTCAAGAAATAGATGTTCATCACTGTTACAAATAGTACACAAAAGGCTTGTTGCTTTAAATTCTTTTACCAGCAAACAGACTATTACTTCACCAAATACAACTGAATACACATTTGCCCATTGGCATCTCTCATTATAAATTGGAAATGAAGGGAAATTTAAAACAACAATATTGTTTACACGCTATTGGCCATATTGCTCCCCCATGCTGGCAATCACACATTACAGACCTGGCCCATGAAATTGAGGCAAAGATGTACAACTGTGCTTCGTGTAGGATTTAACAGTTTAAATATTTTAGCTAATTATTTCTCTTTTGTGAACAAATTTTACAAAGCAAAATAATTTAATTTCATGAGAAAAATAATAGGGCATGCACAAAGTCCTTGATCTCAAGATCTTTTCAAGACATTATGGGGAAATCAAGGACCTCAACCAAATTAAAGACTATTGTTGAAATCCAACACCTTTGAACAAAGTTCAACCATGGATTTTTTAAAGTTGTTTAAATACCTTAACCTCCTTATCTCATAGTGAGCTTACTTTAAATTTGACCATGATACTATGCCTCACCACTTGTAAGACAGGACAGACCTTACACAAGATTGATGCAAACCACAATCAAGAAATAGAAGACAGAACAACTAATATTAACCAACCTGAGACAGACTCAAGAGGGAAGACATGTATTGCCCATTCATTCAACTGCTCATCAACATGATAAGAAACTTTGCATGGTAGAGCATCTTATGGAACATTTTGTAATTCATGAGATGAGTGCAGAGATGCTCCCAAGTACTGAATAAGATCTATATCTAAAGTACACCATTTCTACATGAGTTCATAAACTTGTTGACATTGCTGCCAGAAGCATGCAAGCATGCATGGTCTCCAGTAATTTTTTCAGGTGATCATTTGACAAGTTAGTTCTCCTCACACAAGCCAACTCACACAGACCAAAGCTTCTTCACTCTCAAAAGAGAACATTTAACAGTTTGAATCTTCGGTACAAGTTGTACTACACTGAATGGAGTCATTGCACAGTCTTGCAAGCCAACAACTATCCGTTTGATCTATCAGTGCGGGTTGCACCACGGAGTCTCTGAAAGAATTTGCAAGTGTTTAAAACTGTCTGTGGCCTCCTGCAGCTGGAAGCACCATAGAGTGAAATAGGCTGTATTGTAGTTGCATTTTCCTTACATTGAGAATTCACAGAGGCATATTTCAAAACGAAAAAGTAAGTATGGGAATCTCAATTGTACAATACTGGTTGACAAGGATTGGCTGTTGTGACAATTTTGTAAAAACAAAGGATATCATCACATTTTAAGGATCATTTTTGGAATTTAATGCTTATGAGAACTTCTATTTAAAAATATTTTACTTGCCAGTATTGAAACAAGTTTTTGGATAACACAAAATGTGGAATGACGGGATGTTTTGGTTTTCACATATGATTTTCTACAATTAATACTTATATTCCATTGCCTATTGGGGCCTATAAGTAGTTTAATGTTGCAACTGAAATGTGATTATTATTATACATTGTAGTCACCATCTGTCTTCTCATTGGCTAAACGCCCATGGTTAATTCTGGGAAACAGCGCAACTTACAGATTATTCACTAATCTGTACCTACAGTGAATAATTTGTAGGTTGCATGTGCAATGCATGATTTCCAGTGGAGCAATGTCAAGTTCACGGACAGTAAGAATGGCTTCTCAATTTGCTTCATCGACCCCCGCGAGAAATTGAGTTTTTTTACTTGAAGATAAAGACATTCACCTGTTTGGTCATCCACAGTTTTCTTCAATGATTTCAAAATGCATTTAACTTTTCTGCACTTGATTGTTTTAAAAAGACAATGAAAAGTTGTTTACCACACAGTTGTACATTTTTAAGTGTTCGAAAATAAACTGTGTTCACTGCAGATAATGCATTTGGCATTATTTTCTTTAAAACAATGTATAACAAAACAATTAGCGGATTTGGTTTTTATGACATCTGGAATAGTCAAGGTCTCAACCTTGATTATTCCGAATATCACAAAAACCTCATCCAATCATTGTTTATTATTATGTTTTCCGAGTAATACCTAGAATTATTCAGACCTCGACATTTCTTGACTTCCTGTAAGCTTAAAGCAGTCTTCTAAATTCTCTTAATTCCTAATGGTTCAGATGAACGTTGATATTTCAAACTTGTAAGAATACATGTGAATTAGGCCTTTATTTGGCAGACGACAACTCCTCTTCGGTGACTTGTTTTGTTTTGGTTAATTCATTGCAATACTGATATGTGTGAAGAATTACACTCTTGATTGGCTGAAAACAGCTAGGTGTCTTTCTCATGTATCATTAGTGCAAAAGTAATTACTTAAGTACAAATGTAACAACAGCAACAACAAATTTTATTTAAGCTTAATAAGAAGTTACAATGCTTGGGCCTGCAAGTAGCTAGGGCTATTCGAGGCAGGCACAAGAGAGGAAAAAACAAAAAAAAGAATTCTATAGAAAAGGAGTATTTATAGATGTCATTACAATATATTTATAGACGAACAATCCTAAAAGAAATCTAGTTTGCCGTGTGGTTTATAAACAGAATGCAACAGGAGGGCAGACTGTAGTATATACTGGAAGTACACACAGTCTGTTATAATTTTGAGAATTGTACTCTAATATGAGCAGTTCTTATGTAATCATCCTCTTCTTTCAGAATTTCAGAGTTTTTCCTTTATTGCACTTTAAAATTTTTTTTTTTAAGTGTTTTGAACAACTGGTAGGCCAAGCAACAATAGATCAGACAAGAAAACAATCAGATTTACATGAAATAGGTTGTGCTGATTGATATACATAGTAGCTGACCAAAATAAACAAAAGCTTGGATTTTTTGGGTATATTGACAGACACTGACAAAATTTCATTCCTGAGTAAGATTTCAGCAGAAGGACACATTTTGATAGCATGTCAAGTTTACCATTTACATGATGATGTCAAGTTCACCTTTTCATTTCATGTGCCTTCATAGTTTGAATTTGGGAAACACACTGGCATGAAACAACAATATCAATAATAGGAAAACTTGGAAGATTTTGGTACTTTAAATTAAATCATATGATACCATCATGCACTTGCCTTTACATTGAACTCTACTGTGTTTAAGTTGTCTCTGATTACTGTTCCTGAAATCTATTATGGTGACACTTCTCTCTATTGAACTTACTGTTAAATGAAACCTCCAGGTCAAATTGTGAATCTTGTTGGGTTAAAAATTATTAACAGTTGTAATGTAATGTTACTTCAGAGTACTACCTAACATATGATTTATTAAAATATTTGTTTGTGTTCTGATCTTCTTATGCACCAATCTTTTTTCCCTAGATTTATCCATTTCTAACCCTATATCCACCTTACCTCAAGTATCGTATTTACCCGTGTATAATACCCACTTCTCTTCTACAAAAATAACCATCAAACTTGCGGTGCGTATTATACACGGGTTCCATCGCTTGTCAGGCATGTACTAATTTGCATCTGTTAAAAACATAACAAAGAAAGTAACAAAATCCTTCTAGTGATTGGTTGTTATTAGCTTCAGATAAATAATCTACCATTGAAATAATTTCAATTTCGATCCACCAATAAATTAAAATGACTATTTAAGAAACAGCTGATTGGAGAAAACAACATGTGAGATTGTCACAATCATGATCATGGCTACAAAACTAACCACTGTTAAATGTCAAAGTTACACTGTGTCCGACAAGTTAAAAATCATCCAGTTTGCAGAAGAACATAGCAATTGTGCTGCCGAGCGTGAGTTTGGTATTCATGAGTCAGAGTAATGTCAGACTCTGGCGAAAAAGTAAAGAAAAGCTCAAGAAGTTGCCTCAACTGAAGCCTGCTAACCGCAAAGAAAGCTAAATGGCCAGGGTTGGAGGACGATCTGCTGGCTTGGATTACCGAGAAAAGAAATAATGGTCTTGCCATTCTGCCATCCATTGTGAGACTGAAAGCCCTCGAACTTGTTAAGAATGAGAAGCACAGCATTCCTGAAGGACATTTTAAAGTTAGCAATCACTGGTGTCAGCACTTCATGAAGAGAAACGGTCTGTCACTTTGACAGAAAACAATATTAGCACAACGTCTGCCAGATGATTACCAAGACAAGATCATTTGATTTTAGCCCTACATTATTGATCGCCGTAAAGAAAACAGCTTCCCAATTCATCTCATCGCTAACATGGATGAGATTCCATTGACCTTCAACATTCCACCAAATCGTACCGTAAACAAAATTGGCGAGAACACCATCAAAATATGTACCATGGGAAATGAGAAGAATTGAGTGACAGTTATTTTGGCGTGCTGCGGCGATGGATCAAAACTGAAACCAATGGTAATCTTCAAGAGAAAAACCATCCCTAAGATCAACAACAAGCATAGAGTTGTTGTTTCAGCCCAAGAGAAAGGATGGATGGATTCAGAACAGATGAAAGTGAGGATCCAAAAAGTGTGGTGTGCACGAATTGGTGGCCTGGGGAGGAGAAAGAGCTTGCTTGTTTATGACTCATTTGAAGCTCATTTTATAGATACTGTGAAAGTGTCCTTCAAACGTGAGCGGACTACTTTTGCCGTGATTCCTGGCAGGTTAACTTCCCTTCTCCAGCCGCTCGATGTATCTTTGAATAAACCATTTAAAGATGGAGTCCAAAAGCAGTGGATACAGCGCATGGCTGATGGAATTCATGAATTTACCACCATTGGACAATAAAAGAAGGCTTCCGAGGAACTGATCTGTTCGCGGATTTCGCAAGTGTGGAAAGCCATTCTGTCCGAAATGATTGCTGCCTCTTTCTTGAAGTGTGGGATCACAAACAATTTGGATGGCACACAAAATGAATTAATTAACAATTCAACTGAGAACACTGATGAACTTGATGATTCAATTATCAAAAACCTATTTGAATCTGTTAGGAGATTGGACACTAGTCCATAGTATTATGGTATGTAGAGAGGAACCATGAGAGAGACATTAAAAGGTTGAGTTGACTTCATGTGTGCTTGTCTCCTCCCCACAATAACAGAATCAGACAGCGAGTCGGAATTTCAAGGTTTCGTTGTTTAATTCAAAGACACTTAACACTTCATTTAAATCGTACGCAAGGCAGAAATGATAATCAAGCTACCAGCAGTGCGGTGTGTAGAAATACTGTTTATGAATTGCTGTTAGGATAATTATTAAAGTTGTGAATTTTGGTATATCAATAAAGACTTCAAGTTACAACTTTGGTAAAATGTTTGACTGTTTTGAATAGAAAACTTGTAATTATGTGCTCGGTGCACACAATATTTGCAGTCGAACTGGTTGTGAACGTATTATTAATGAATTTCCAGCTCCTGCTAATTAAATGAAAAAATAGAAGTTTTGATTCTTTTTGGTGTTTGTCTTGAAATCTTTTTTTTTTAGAAAAAAGAGGTAAAAAATTAGGGTGTGTATTATGCACAGATGCACATTATACACGGGTAAATATGGTAAATTTTTCTGTGTTCTTTATTGAAAATACAGTCCTGCAAAACCCTAATACAATAATTAGAGTAAACATTTTGCTCTCAACCAACTGAAATAGAACCTTGTGCCCTAATGAATAACAGAAACCTACACTCAGCATTGTGTGACTTAACAAGTATGTATTGTCCAAAATTAGTTGTACATTCAAACCAAATCAAGCTCCCAATGGCTTCTAGTGTACTGATTTCATCATTTCCTGAATGTTTCAGCCCCACTGGAAAGTTCTATCCTCATGTACTGGTACACAAAATGCCAAAAATATTCGCATGCAATGCTTCCCTAGAGTTAATTTCATATCACTTGCCTTGGAAAACACCACCATAATATTTCAGAACTCTATTCCACTTAGTTATTTAAACAAAATCATGACCAAATCTATAAGGCCACTAAAGGAGATGATGCTGACCCCTTTTTTAGTTCCTAAAATCCTCAGGTTGCACGCGCAACCTTTGTTGTCAAAATGAGACCTCCATAACCAAGTTTGGCCACTAACCCTCACCTTGAAAATGAACATTTTGAGACTACTGTGTGCTAGTTAACTTATTTTATCAATGAACAGGAACAATATTGTAAACTATCTAACCATAATCAGGTATTAGCTCTTGTAACAGAAACTCAATAAGACACCAGCAGACTCCAAAGAGCAGCTCAATTTCGTAAACCACACATTTATGCATTGCGGACCTATTTTCTCTTACGTCATATGACATCTACAAGGATGTCTCAGGCAGTGTGCCCACTCTGATTGCATTGCATCATGGTTGTAAAACAAAATGAGTCATTTGTATCTTGATGTGTTGGAGTGAACATCTCTGGTGGCAGCGAGATATGTGGATTGTAATGGGGATTCACTGTCTGTTGCCAAGCCTTTGAAAGTTAAAATGTTTAACGGGCCAACGCATCTCCTGTCACTCCTCCCTGATGAATTCCTTCTTTGGAGGCAACTGACCTTATTTATTCCAAATTGTAATCTGCCAAAGAGTCTCAACACAAATGACAAGTTATACTCACAACCTATGTTGGGATGATTAATTTCAAAGTCAGTAATTATTTTCCTAGACGCAAGTTAATCAACTGTGAATTGACCCTCGACATGCAAACGTATATTAGAAAGACAGACCTTTTAACAGACGAACTTTTTCCACCAAGCGTAAATACCAGATTTGTAAAAAGAGAAGCCCTGCGCCCTCCTAAGAACGAATTTGTTTCCCTCCACCTTTAGTAAAAATGTACAGAGTTTCAAAATACCCTTTGAGAAGAGAGGAAACCTAGATGAGGGTTTTGAGAAATGCATCTCTGGAGTTATTACTTCAGGAGAGAAGTATACTCTGAAACAAAGAAATACCGCGCACAGAAGAAACAACAACAACAACAACATTCATATATACCAACAGGAAGGTAAAAGTAATACATTATACAAGATATCATAGCTGTCAGACCACTCTACTTAGACTCGTGGAAGACTAGAAATCAGCTGTTGACAGAAAGGAACTGGTGTACATACTGTCTACTGACTTGAGTAAAGCCTTTGACTCTCTCAGCCATTCTCTAATTGTAAAGAAACTCGAAGCCTATAGCATTGGACAAAATTCTCTCAGCCCTCTTAGATCATACTTTGACAATAGGCTCAATAGAGTGAAAATAAAAGGAGTGACAAGTGACTGGAAAAGGATGGTGCTTGGCTGCCCGCAAGGCTCGTCCTTTGGCCCCCTTCTGTGGAATTTGTTCCAAAATGATATGTCATTTCATATAAATAATGCTAATTTGAGCATGTATGCCGACGACCATCAGATGTATGTCACGGGGAAGAAGCATGACGTTGTCGCGCAAAGTATCAAGATACATGGAGAGAAAGCTCTATCCTGGTACAAGAACAACTATCTCTCAACCAACCCAGAAAAGTTCCAGCTATTAACGATCAACCCGAGAAATGTTGACAAAGACAACGATAATCAAAATTTTTCTGTTGATGGTCATACTATTAACAGAATGGGGGAAATACGGCTTTTAGGAGTTCAAATAGATGAAAAATTGAGTTTTACTAGTCATATCAGTGATCTATGCTCTAAGGCCAGTCAAAAAGTAGGGGTCCTAGTGCGGCTACGCAATTTGATACCCTGTAATGCTAAACTATCACTTTACAGGTCTTCAATTCTGCCCCATCTAACCTACTGTCATTTAGTATGGCACTTTTGTAATGCATCGGATCGGAGAAAGCTTGAGCGGATTCAGGAGCGAGCACTTAGGGCGGTGTACAAAACTAGATCAGCGTCCTATCAAGAACTGCTAAGTCGCGCCAAACTACCGACGTTGAACAATCGGCGCCTACAAGACATTGCCACTTTGATGTTTAAAGTTAAGCACAGTCTCGTACCTGAGAATATTTCTGACTTATTTAATATAAAGAACACTCAATATAATTTACGGAACAGTGACTTTGAACTGCCAAGATTCGAAACTGTAAGATTTGGTAGGAATTCTATTAAATATATGGGACCTCTCATCTGGTCGAAGTTACCAAGACACCTAAGAACGATAGAAACTCTAAATTCGTTCAAGAAGAACATAAGAAAAGTCGACCTTTCAACTCTCGTTGAAATTTAAAACTTAACTAAATAACTTTATAATCTTTTTAATTATCTACTGTAAATAACTATTATCTAAATATGTAAATGTATTGACTTTTGACCTTCTGGAAGCTCCGCGNTAGTATGGCACTTTTGTAATGCATCGGATCGGAGAAAGCTTGAGCGGATTCAGGAGCGAGCACTTAGGGCGGTGTACAAAACTAGATCAGCGTCCTATCAAGAACTGCTAAGTCGCGCCAAACTACCGACGTTGAACAATCGGCGCCTACAAGACATTGCCACTTTGATGTTTAAAGTTAAGCACAGTCTCGTACCCGAGAATATTTCTGACTTATTTAATATAAAGAACACTCAGTATAATTTACGGAACAGTG